ACGTGTTAATTTTGAATTATATATTCATTAAATCATTGAATATATCTATTGATTATATTATAATTAGAAAAAATATCGGAAATATCCCTAGACTGAGAAATATCCCTAGCAGTCGACGTGTTAATTTTGAATTATATATTCATTAAATCATTGAATATATCTATTGATTATATTATAATTAGAAAAAATATCGAAAATATCCCTAGACAGAGAAATGTCCCTAGCATAGAAGTCAACGTATTAAGTAGTCCACTGATATTTGAATTCAATTTCCTCGAAAACGAAGCCTCAACCAATTTGTTTCGTGAATTACAAATATTTGTGAATAAATACATGTGAATAAAGACTGTCGATGAAAAGAAAATGGCAGGTTCAGGATTGGCCCAAAGAGAAAAGACACCCGGGCCGACGTCGATGTCGGATTGTCAGCTCCTCGACTTCCACGTAGCAAAATACTATTTCCTCGACGAACGAACGATTCGTCGCTCAAGGTACATTTCAAAAGACGATCGAGTTTGATATGCGAGCAGCGTTTTCCAGCAGCTTTGATTGCGCTCTTTGATTTCGCGTTCTCTTTCGTCGATGACCGTTTCCACAGACAAGACAGACACAATACCAGAAAAGTTCAAAATTTAATCATATCAACTTATAACAATTGATTCCTGATGGTTTAGTCGAGTCAAATTTTATTTAATTCCACAATTTAAATTTTTATCTTTCATTTGTTATTCGAAATTTTTATCTGAATAAAACAAAATCAAATGTGATACAATTTCGAGTAATTTTAAATCGATTAAAAATGTAAATTTTTCGATAAACATAGTGATCAGTATCAGTATTGAAAATTGGTATTAAATGGTTGTATTTAATTGATACGCATCGATACTTTCGTGTGTCAAAATAGTACGATACAAATCGATGTTTCGTTATCTGGCATTGATAGTATCGGTATCAGTCTTGTCTCTAGATTCACGGAAAACTTAATTAACCTAATTACTACGTAGCGATTTCTACGACTAGGCGGACTAAATGCACGATCAAGCTGCCCTTTGATATACTTAACGACTATCGAATACTTGTTTGCCGGCCTCGAGCGCCGGGAATACAAACGACGGAGGCGAAGAAACAACCATAACAAAGCTTAGAGCCGTGTCGATTAACAAAGAACATCACCCATTCGACAATCTCCAATTTTTATAAAACTTAATTTCCACAGGCATCGACAAAATATTATACATTTATTTCTTCGTCGTCTGATCCTCAATATGGAGTTAAAATTAACCTCAAAATCGTAGATCGAAATATCAATATTCGTTAATAAAAATAAATCTTCAAACTTGAAATGTAAAAAAACCCAAATCCAAGTTAAATACATCAATTTCAACGCCACAAAAATAAGAACAAATACTTGATGTGAGTTACGTAGGGTCTTCGTGAATTAATCTGACGCTCAATATCAGTCGATAAAAAAAATATATAATATTTCACGAAGCCCTAGTCAAGTTAGATCAAAATTAAATTATCGATTGGGCAACAGTCTTTGCAAGTCAAATTTTTAAAAAGCTAATGATACACTGAAGTATTTAAGTGTCTCGATTCGGGGTAGCGATTCGTTAAACGGAAGAACAAAGACAGAGTCATTGACGTTTTCAAAATGGCGTCAAGCTAGAACAACGGAACACTGTCGACGGTCAACCTCGAGGCCGAAGATCACCGAGTTTCTCAATAATAATTCAGAATTCTTCGACGTTTACTCTTGAATCTTCAGCATCGACGTTCGAAAAACGCGACACTCGGTTCTCTGCCCGACGAAGCAAACGAAAATCGTAAGAACAAACGAAAACATAACCTATAGTGCCGCTCTAAAGGTTCTAAGTGGCTGTCGAGACGAGAAGAGTGTGTCGCGCGTCTAATTTCATCGAACCCCCCGACGAACGATCAAAAGACAATTTTTAGTATTTATCTTAACGATTTCATTCTTAAAATAAGCGTCCACGATGGAACATTCGATTCTACATTTAATTCTCGTCCATAAATTCTGTCAGTAAATTTCAAAGTTACTACCAAATATATGGAAAGTCTTAGTTTTGTTTTGAAAGTTAGGTGGCTGCGTTGTTATGGGTTATTTTAGGTGCTAGATGTTTAGCTGTTATGTGTTAACAAAACATCTATTTAGAGGTTAATTTACAGGCAATTGAGTAATCATAAGAATGATGGAACATTCATTCTCGTCCATAAATTCTGTCAGTAGAATTTAAAGTTATTAACAAATATATGGAAGGTGTTGAACATTAATGATTTTGGTGATTGAGTAGTATTCCTCATTTTTCTTTTCTATAGTAAACAGATTGAAAATTAGGTGACCATGTTGTTATGGAGTATTTTAGGTGCTAGATGTTTAGCTATTATATGTATATTCACAGAACACCTATTTGGAGGTAAACTCGCACATAATTGAATGATCAAGAGAACATTTTTGTTCGTAAGTTAGGAAAAATAAAATGAAACCCCAGTAATAGAGAATTTACAACTAAATCTAACTGTATATTTTGTACAGAGTTATCTCGGTGCTCTATAACATTGATTTGGCTGAGAATTTCTCTTAATAAATTAAAAAACATAAAATAAAATCAGAGTAACAGAGAATTAACAAACCTAACCTTCATATCTTACATAACATTACAAAAACTAAGATTTGGCTGAGAATTAAGTAGTCATTAACAGTTTGAAAGTGTTTGAAGTACCAGGGCAGAACTGATAGCGAGAAGTAGCCATGTTTGTTGGCCATTCATTGGCTTTTGTACAAAATTCTAATAGCAAACGATCCCATAACATTGGAAAAACTAAATATTTAGCTGAGAATTACTCTCAATAAAGTAGACAGAATAAAATAAAATCCTAGTAACAGAGAATTAGTAAACCTAACCTTCATATCTTACATAACATTACAAAAACTAAAATTTGGAAGAGAATTGAGAAGTCGTTAACAGTTTGAAAGCGTTTGAAGTATTAGGACAGAACTGATATTGAAAAGTAGCCATATTTGTTGGCCTTTCTTTGTCTTTTCTTCAAAATTCTAATAGCAGACGATCCCATAACATTGGAAAACTAAATATTTAGCTGAGAATTTCTCTCAATAAATTAGACAAAATAAAATAAAATCCAAGTAACAGAGAATTAGTAAACCTAACCTTCATATCTCTCATAGGGTTATTTTGGTACCCTATAGCATTGAAAAAACTAAAGATTTAGCAGGGAATGAACTAGTTCTTTACAGTTTGAAGTGCAGGACAGAACTTATAGCGAGAAGTAGCCATTTCTGTCTTTTCTTCAAAATTCTAATAGTAGCCGATCCCATAACATTGGAAAAACTAAATATTTAGCTGAGAATTTCTCTCAATAAATTAGACAAAATAAAATAAAATCCAAGTAACAGAGAATTAGCAAACCTAACCTTCATATCTTACATAGGGTTATATTGGTACCCCACAGCATTGAAAAAACTGAAGATTTAGCAGGGAATGAACTAGTTTCCAGTTTGAAGTGCAGAACAGAACTTATAGCGAGAAGTAGCCATTTCTGTTGGCCTTTTTCCGTCTTTTGTTCGAAATTCTAACGGTAGAGGAGGGCTTTGCCTATCAGGGGTCGTTCATCGGAGGCTCGAGAACCCCGGTGCTCTGTCGAGTGGCGTCTCTCGGTACGTGGTTATCCAATCTTCGATCGTGCGTTATCTCTTGCGAGCGTCGTTCGTTCCGTCGTTTCGCGGCCTGGCGTTCTCTCGTCTTCGTCGCTCTTTTTTTAGTCGGGCAACGGGAACAGATAGAGGAGGACGAGGGTGGAGAGGAATGTGGCGAGAAGCATCGCGGACAGAACGCGATCCTGAATCGTACGGGATGAACCTGGGGCCGACTCTTCGGTATCGTTCTCCCCTTCGTCGCGGAGAAGGAGAAGAGCGGAGACGAGACGCGCCAGAGCCTCCAGCCCGTACGCGTCCATGTAACCCACGTCCATGATTGCGTCCGCGTCCATTAACACCTCCTGCAACACCAACAACGATACTACTCAGTCCCAGTATCTACCATCGTCGCTGGTCGATCGTGTCTTTCACACAAAACCCTGACAATTTTTGTTCACTCCTCCTTGAGATCAACCATCCCTATTCCGAAAGTTGAGAGGGACTCTGGGATTGGGATTCAGATTAAATTTTGAGAAAGTCGAAGTTGGTTCGTTTTCTTTTTGGGAAGCGGGAGGATGCTTAAAACGACGAGAAGACACTCTCTTTCTGTGCAAAATTTAGATACCAACTGATAGCTTGCGCCACCTGGCGGCGAGTTTCCCAACTACCAATCTCCCCAAACTGTAGCAAACCGTTTGAGGAGATTTGAGGGCCTCGTATCTCGAAAAGGAACGTCGATATAAAAAAACTATAAGAATAACTTTTCATTCCCCTCGCAAAATGGAGTATTTTTCTATTTAACAAATTTCTTCCATCTCTAACCCCTAGCTAGTTACGTTGATAGTAACCGTTTTCCAAACTTGGCACAGAAAGGTGGACACAAAAGCGAATTACGGATTCTAGGCGCATGCAACTAAAGCTTCTCTTGCTCCTCTCTGTCACGAATAGCGGATTCTTTTGATGCTTGGAAAGGGACGTACAACCTCGCGACTGTATCGAAATCCGGGGACTGACTAGTAGTTGCTGGAAATGTCATGGACAAACCTGACGGAGCGGTTCGATTTACTTGGACGATCGTTTTCGTTTTCATAGCGTTTCTCCGTACTCGAGTAGTATCGTTCGATTATTTTTGGAGGCTCGTGCGCTCTCGACGGTGCACGAGACGTTTTGGCGAACGGAAAAATTTTAATGCTGTGAGTAAACGTGTCGGTACGCTCGGTTTCGAGAGTGTCGCGTCAATTGTTGCGGTGTTACGAGCGAGAGACAAAGCACAGAGACTCTCGAGAGAAAGATCGGGTGATAAAATAGTGGGACGATCGCTTACCTCGTCGACGCCGATCTTCCGACACGCCTCCAGGAAGTTGTCGACGTTACGTCTGCATCTCGCCATTGTCAGCTTGGGCTGCAAGCAGAAATTGATTTTAAATTCATCCCCATAGAAGCTAGAAAGCATCTAACAATGTGTGGGACCAACGCTTTTCAAAAATTAAAAATAAAAATCAACTTTATGTAGGATAAACTATTAAAAAATAGGTGTGTAATAGGTTATAAAATGGAATTGTTCATGGTTTGTTCGAAAAGCGTGCGTCCATGTTTAAAATTTTTTATATTAAAATGCTTACAACGGCTGGTGATGGGACGTGGATGCTGGCGACCGATCTGGGTCTCACGTGATTCGCTAAATGACACAGAACAACTCCGTCTGTAAGCGCAGGCGCCAGGTCCTCCGGCAGCGCCATCTTCAATCTCGTTTCTATGTGCTGGAAAAGGAAACTAAATTCGTTCCTCTTCTATCGACTAACAAACTTAGTTTTCATTTCTACACACTTGGAAACTATATAATCCAAACTTTGTCATAGTACTAATTGTTATAATCTAGTCAAAATACATTGGTCAAAAGATTTCATTCATGGGTGGTATCAAAAGAGGTTAGAAAGAGGTGGGAAAATATTTTTTAGTGTCTTCCAGTTTCTCAGGTTCTCAATGAAGTTGAATTAATCCCCCAAGACATAAATAACACAAATGCAGCTCTAGATATTAACAAAAGTCCACGAACAGTATTCAGGGGAAAGTTATTGTGCATGAAGCGAGGGACTACTGTACACAAAAACACTTTTTACTATCTTTCAGTTCCGCAATGAAGTTTAGTCACTCCTATATCTAAACATTTAATCCCCCAAGACACAAATAACCCAAACAAAGTCTTAGACATCAATAGAAGCCCATGAACAGTATCGAGCAGAGAATTATTGTGCATGTAGCGAGAGACTACTGTACACAAAAACACTTTTTACTACCTTCCAGTTTCTCAATGAAGTTTAGTCACTCCTACATCTAAACATTTAACCCCCCAAGACACAAATAACCCTAACACAGTCCTAGAGATCAATAGGAGCTCATAAACAGTATCGAGGGGAGAATTACTGTGCATGAAGCGAGGGACTACTGTATGCAGATGATTTAACAGTCGTTAGAAAGCAATACCCACGCTTCGGAGTTGCTCGATCAGGTCAGCCTCTTCCTTGGCACGTTCGAATTCCCTTCTCATGGTGAAGGAGTACTTTTCTGGCACGTTGCTGTTCCAGGTGACGGATCGCGGCGACTTTGGACTGCCTCCGTTCCTACTGGGGCTTTTGTTACCTGACAGGACCCAATTACGATTCAATCGACGCTCTTTAATTTTTGTTTTACGGGTTTTTAGTTACCTTCCACGTAGCCTACGGCGGTTTTGACTAGTCTGGGAGTGTGTCCGGGGCTGGAGCTCGACGACAAGATGCTCGACGACGTTTTGATTGGCGAATTAGGTTTCTTGTACGGCTGCTCGAGATACTTGCCGTTCTTATTGTTGTACTCGTTGTTGCTCCCGTTGATGATCGGCGTGTTCTGGTAGTTGATGCGCGACGGTGTCACTTTCTGCACCGGTCTCTTCGTCGCGTTCTCCTCGTTGAAGATCTGCTTCCCTGTCAGGGCCACCGCCTCCTTGTTGCTGGTGGAATCTGGGTCCTGGGAGTCGTTGCCAGGTGGCGTCACCTGCTCCCTGGGCCTGTACACGCTGGGCCCTTCGTTGACCCTTTGCTGTCTCAATGCTTCTTTGTACTCTCTGAAAACGCAATCACAGAAATATTACAAATTTGGAAAATTAACGCAACAAAATTGTTTCTGTTTTTTTTTTGGGTGTCAGGATCCCTAGAAATATAATTTATGAGGAATAGTTAACTTTTTATTTTACTTTCCAAAATTTTCAATATAATGTAAATATTTAAATTGTTGAGTTCCCTTTTGAGAAATTTGACATTGAAAATATACAGAATATTTAGGAACTCAGTTGACAGCTTTTAAGTATGATTTACGTTCAGCTACTATATCTTCTGTACAGTTTGGCCTCTAGTTCTTAAAGATAAATATACGTTGCATTCCTCTGCTCTACTTACCTGAGCCATCGTTTTCAACTATTAATACTATATCAAATATAGGAGCAGTGTAGAACAACATCGATGCAAAAGTATTTTCCAATATGAGATTCAAAAAAATTTGTAAGTCACTATTAGAATTAAAATTAAATTCTCAAGTACAAATATAGGGCCCATTGAGTTGTCTTTTTGAAGTCACTAACGAGAATTAATATTAAATTCTCAAATACAAATATATAGGGCCCATTGGAGAGTCTTTTTTGGGTCACTAGTAGAATTAAAATTAAATTCTCAAATACAAATATAGGGCCCATTTGGAGTGTCTTTTTTGGGTCACTAGTGGAATTAAAATTAAATTCACAAATACAAATATATAGGGCCCAGTGGAGTGTCTTTTGTTGGGTCACTAATAGAATTAAAATTAAATTCTCAAATACAAATATAGGGCCCATAGGTACACTTGAGGTGTCGAATCTCACCAAAAAGGCGTTGAAACGCTCACCTGTACGTTTGGATGTGATTGAGGGGCCTCTTCTCCTCTCCGTTGGCCAAAGGGGTGGAGTTTGCAACAGGGTTTTGCAAGGGTTGCACCGACTGCGTGATCGCCGACGCCGGCTGCGTTTGGTTCAAGTGACTGGTTTCGAGAGGGCTGCGAAAAGAAAAAAAAATCGTGCGCCTCGCGTTCAAACGGCGAACTTTGACATCCACGAATCGATCGAGACCGCGTTGCGATGACGCGTAGCGGTTTCTCATCGGTTTATTAACGGCTCGCTTACCCGGGCGGCGTAATTGACGCGTGGTAGAGGCCAGAGGTCATCGGTCGTCTGACATCGGCGCCATTCTCCGAGGTGCTCCTCTCCAGCCTCCTCTTCTCCAACTGATCGTGCAGTATTATGGCCTGTGAACATCATAGCGTAAAATAGAATCGCCCCTCGTTCTTCCACGGCAACTTGAAAACTCAGTTTTAGCCTCAAAAGTCAAGTTTTCGATTTGCACCGCAACTTTCCGTGTTTGAAGTTGTTTGTAGACGTTTGTTGTTTTGTTTTTTCAAAACTGGACACCGGGTATAAGATTCTGGGGATCAGTGATGCATTTAAATTCAGGTTTGAAATGGTTTGAAGTGGTTTGATATGGTTAGAAGTGGTTTGATATGGTTAGAAGTGGTTTGATTTGGTTTGATATGGTTCGAAGTAGTTTGGACGTTAAAAATTATAGAAATACGAAACTTAGAACTCTTGAAAATCTCCCAAAGACAAGATTAGTACTATTTCAAAAATTTCAAGCCATAAAACTCAACTTGAAACTCAGTTTTAGCCTCAAAAGTCAAGGGTTTTCGATTTGCATCGCAATTTTCAGTGTTTGAAGTTGTTTGAAGAAGTTTGTTATCTTATTTTTTAAACTGGGCACCAGGTATAAGATTCTGGGGGTCAGTGATGCATTCAAACCTCAGGTTTGAAGTGGTTTGACATGGTTTAAAGTGGTTTGATATGGTTTGAGGTGGTTTGAACTTCAAAAATTATAGAAATATGAAACTACAACTCTTGAAATTCTCCCAGAGATAAGATTAGTACTATTTCAAAAATTTCAAGCTATAATACTCAACTTGAAACTCAGTTTTAGCCTCAAAAGTCAAGGATTTTCGATTTGCATCGCAACTTTCAGTGTTTGAAGTTGTTTGAAGAAGTTTATTGTTATGTTTTACAAAACTAGGCACCGGATATAAGATTCTGGGGGGCAGTGATGCATTCAAACCTCAGGTTTGAAATGGTTCAATATAGTTCGAAGTGGTTTGACATGGTTTGACATGGTTTGAAATGGTTTGAACTTATCATAATGATAAAAATACGAAACCCAGCTCTCTTATAAGTCTCCCACAGACAAGATTAGCCCTATTCCAAAAATTTCAAGCCATAAATCGGGTCAAGGCCAAGTTTGCAAGCATACTTTACGGAAAAAAGTAAACAATGGACAGTTAATCTTGTCTCCAAGTATATTATCGTGCTCGAGAGCGTTTTCTAATTATTTTCTTATCCATTTTAGTTTACAATATTGCACCGGAAGAAGACACGGAACCTTGAAGAGCAACTACGGCGCGGAGGAGGAGAAGTGAGGTGAGATTGGCGGGACGGTCCAGTGGGTTAATCGCGACGGCGTAGTTCTTTCAATGGGTTAAGGTCATTCAACGAGGCTTGAACGACGGCCAAGCGCGCCGCGACACACAGATATCGTTTTCAAGGGGCGGCGAGTTTGTGTTCGATCGCTAAATATAACCGTTGTATCATCGTACGCGCTCCGAAACCGGGGACTCCGGCGTTACAAAATCCTAGCGCCTCTGGACGTCGTTGCATCGCGGGGATATCGTACCTTGCCCAGCTCGTCCTCGAGAGACGTGTGCTCGCCTGGCGAGATGGTGCTGGGGGTCGACGTTCCGCTGCAGGACCCGTTCACGCCCGCCTCGTGGGGCAGAGTTATCGACAGTGGCGAGCACTCCTGACGCCACAGCCCTCGAATCTCGCCGTCGACCTGCGCGCATAAAGGTTGCCACCGCCAGGCGTTAACGAGTTTCGCCCCCCTGCTAGATGGCGATAAATTCGCCAGTCCCTCGCGTCGACTTTCACGCGACCTCACTCGAACCCCAGCTTTTGGAGGGCAGATTTTACTCCCAAATAATAAATATTTCAAAATTGCAACTGTAAATATTCGTGGATTTAATTTATAAATGAATTTTGCTTGCAGGGAATAAAATTTGCCCAAATCTGTTAGTAACCCGGTTAAGTGAAATGTATTTTTTTTTTTAGTTAGAATGTTAGACCACTTCCTGTGCTGGTTTGTGCATCAAATTGATGGCGGATACAGTAATTCCTGCGTTCCCCTACAGACCTTGAAACATGTTCATCGTCGTTTCTGACGCCTCTCGGAATTGGTCGAGCAAATTTTTGATATGAGACTGCTAAATGATTTAAAATGAGAAGGAGTGTCCTGTGACTGTGTAGAGTGTAACACTATAGAAACAGAGTTACCAACTCTCTAGTTCCATATAGTTAAATAAAACTTCCAACGTGTGTGTTAGTCATTTATTATATTAATATCTCTTTTTGTATAAATTAAATATCTCCTGTCGTTGGTTACATAAAATCTTCAAAATCACACAATTCTCGAATAAATTGTAAAGTTCCAAGAAATGCACCTGTGTTGAGACAGTGTCCCAGTCCCTGTGTTTGTGGCGCTCGTTTGACGGGGAATGCAGGTATTACTGTGTCTGTTCGTTGGCGAAAAGTCTGTCGAGGAGGTTGGCGAAGAATCGCAGAGAAAAGAAGAGAGCTAGAAGAAGGACGAGGAAACTAACCGCGCTGTGGATTTCTTGGGACCAGCGTTTGTCGACGCCATCGCTGGTGCTGTACCCGCTGTCGACGTTGTGGCGTCTGTGGGCCCTGGTGTCCAAGGTGGCGTGACCTCTGACATCCAATGGCGTCCGCCTCACGCGCCCCCCTCTGGCCCTCTCGTGCTTCGCCGCCTGTCTCTCCAAATATTTGAAGATGTGCGTTCGCCCGCGAATGCATAGCTGAGAACAATCGGAAATCCGAGACAGTTGTTGGCACCGCGGTCCACATTGGGGAGTAACGCGCGTGTACGCTGTAACAGAAGGGTGGGTGGTTGCTCACCGAGGCAGGCGGCGAGGTCAAAGGATTGTCGGAGAGCCGAAAGTCCACCAGGCTCTTCATTTTCCTCATCTCGTTCGGAAGCACGGATATTCGGTTCCCGCTGATATCCAGCTTCACGAGTCTCAGGTACGTCAGTTCTGCGCAGAAATGTTTGGTTATGAAATTAGTTATTGGAAAAAGAAAATTAGAAAATTAGAAAATTATTGGGAAAAGAATTGTCAAATTTAAGTACCTTTGGGGAAAGAATTTTACAATTTAATTAATTTTGGGAAAAGGATTTTGATATTTAACTAACTTTGAAAAAAGAATTTTGAAAATTAATTAATTTGAGGAAAAGGATTTCGAAATTTAACTAACTTTGGGAAAAGAATTCCAAAATTTAACTAACTTTGGGGGAAAAAATTTGAAATTTAATTAATTTTAGGAAAAGGATTTCAAAATTTAACTAATTTTGGTAAAAGAATTTCAAAATTTAATTAACTCAACAAAAATAATTGGAAAATTTAACTAATTTTGAGGAAAGAATTTCAAAATTTAATATCCCCCCTCTTCTTATATAAAGTGCCTCGCCATTTTTCATCAAATTAGATATTAATCAAGATTTAGATGTTTAGATTCCGTCAAAGCTTTGTATTCTGTAATTAGTGAACAATAATAATTTTAAAAATTGTTATTACACTGGATGTAAATAATTTAAAAAAATTATTTTTACACTGAAATCAAAGTTATTTTGAGTTCGCAAAATTCCACCATCTGGTTTCTTTTTATAATCGTGTCGAGACGAATTTAAAAAGTGTTTTGCACAATTTTTTTCTATTAGCAGATTATTGAATTTTACACGGTAGTGAAAATGGTGGATGGAAATCCACCGAAATAGTCGAACGCACGGGTAAAAAGTAACGGACGGGCCGTGAAAAAGAAGGAACTTTAATACGCGCATTAAAGAAACGTTCACCCGAGTTCAGCCTTGCAGATGGCTGCGTCCTTCGAGAAGGACATTATTTTAAAGCCCTGTCACGGGGACGTTGAGTAATTTATGCAATAACATAAAGCAGTGCTTCTCAAAAGAGAGTCGATAGATCCTCTAGAATAAAATTAAATATATATTTTTATGCAATGGGGACTCCCCAATTTAACACCATTCAAGTGTCATGGCTGCCACTAGGGATTTTCTATTTTCGATCACTGATACTTCAAACATTCAATTCTACAACACATTCAGTTTCTATTTTTCATATAATCAACAATAAATGTTTAATAATCTTCAAAAAATAAATGCAATTAAAATAAAAATCACAAATATCGTCAAACCTGGGGGAAATTTTAATGGGTGATTCTAGAGACCAAAATAAGACAAAAGTCAAGGATACCAATTTGTCGATTGAGGCTTCGTTAAAAAGTTATTAACAGTTGCGTCTCTAATAGTTACGCAAGTTGCGCATCTAGAGGCGCAACTGTTAATAACTTTTTAACGAAGCCTCAATCGACAAATTGGTATTCTTCATTTCCGTCTTATTTTGGCCTCTAGAATCCCCCATTTAATTTTTCCCCAGGTATTTTCAAAAAATATATTTAATTTTATTTTGAATACTTTTTTAATTTATCGTATATTACTGTGCTTATTTTCTGAACTAAACTCAACAAAGACTCAAAAATACTTTCACAACTGAGAAACATAACCTCGTAAAATGCTAGAGTTTCAGGTCATTCCAGGCTCATATTATTACAATGGCCGAATGCATATTAATGTCAAGTGAAACGCACAAGGGAAAACAATGTTTCTTGCGCGTAAACTATCCTTTTATAAGTCGCGACTGCATAAGGTTAAATATTTTATAGGACAGTGGTATGTAAAATGAGTCATTCCATGCCTCGTACTGGCCATAATCACAATATAATATTTAGGTCGAGGTCTGCACTCGTGAGCAAACATATAAATTCCTCCAACTGGGTCTAGCATGTTTATTAATATTTTGACCCCAAAATTAAATTCAAAAAGTAATTTAATTTACAATAAAAAAAAAAATATATAATTTAATGTTGATTAGGTTTAATTCTCAAGGAGGTTTGGACTGGCAGCTGACCTTACGTTCTTCTTGGGAATAATATAGCTCAATTAAGTGTGCACCCCTTTTGGAATTAATCATAATTTATGTTTCGCTTAGATCGTTCACGGTGATACGTTTTATAAAGCGAGCCCTAATCTCGCCGGTGACTCCTGTGGTCTGATTAACCGCATTAATGTATCTACAATCTTCTATACACTTCTTCCAAGTCACCGCCATTACTCACCGTACGATTTACATAGAGCGATAAAGCCATGTGTAATCGATCAATTTAATCAACTATCACAACAATAGGGAACCATTACGAGTGTTAATTTCTCTGACTTCAGTTCTTTTTATCGTGCATTGTATTTAAAGACCCATCTGCTGTTGATATTAGAATTGCAATTTTATTTATTTATACGGAATTGAATACAAATCTAAAGATAGGGGAAATTATAAAATGGGTGTAAATGGAAAATATTAGAAATACTAAAAATAGGGGAAATTATAAAGTGGGATAAATGGAAAATATTAGTCACATGTAGGGGTTGAAAATATTTATAAACAATGGTAAACAATGGTAAAATGATATTGTTTTTTGGGAATTAGAAAATTTTAAAAATTTGGTAGTAGAGAAAGTTTCAAAATTGGCAGGTTTTTAATTTGTAGACTTAATTTGAAGTCGAAAGGGGTGAGTTTTTTATGAAATAAATAATTTTAAAGATCTGGTAAAAAAAGAAATTTTAGAATTGATAATTTTTTGATTTGGAAACTTAATTTTAAGTCAAAAGGGGTGAGTTTTCTATGAATAAAACAATTTAAAAAATCTGGTAGTTGAAAAAGCTTTAAAATTAACAAGTTTTCAATTTCTAGAATAAATTTGAAAAAGAAAGGGGTAGGTTTCCTTCGAATTAAACAATTAAAAAAAAATCTAGTAGTAGAAGTTTTAAAATTGACAATTTTTTAATTTATGGAATTAATATAAAATCCAAAGAGATGATTTTTCTATCAATACAACAATTTTAAAAATCTCTTACTACAAAAAAGTTTAAAAATCACCAAATTTTCAATTTGCAAAATTAATTTTAAAATCGAAAGGGTTGGGGGACTTACCTATAGGCAGGTGCACGAGCACGTTGCTCCTCAAATCGAGGGACCTAAGTCGTGCAAGGTCGCCCATCCGAGGTGGCAGACTTGTAATTTCGTTGCAACCTGCGTCTAGCTCAGCCAGGGCTGACATCCTCCCCAATTCGTCCGGCAGAGATGCTAATCTATTGTGCGCCACCAGCAACGTTTGCAACGGTAGCCTGCATATCTCTCGAGGTAGAGACGTCAATTGGTTGCGACTGTGAACAAAATAATTGGGATGAATTGATTATGCAAACGGTATATATCATTCTACCAACTGTATAAATAATTGGTACGCGTTCGTGCTATTAATTGATCGTTAGAACAATTTCCAGTAACATAACGTTCATTTTATTCATTTATTTTCAACTACATACTGTGCAATATTTATTTTGAAATAACTTTGCTGGGAATCCCGGTCATACAATCATTTCAGGTAAGCAGAAGACTATTTTTTTGCTGCCAGAATGGAGGAAAATATTATTATTTATTTTTAATTACAATCTTAGCTTTTTGGAAGTTTAAATTATTTTGCAGGATCATCTTGGATAGTAATTACAATTTTTATCTAATCTCTAAACATTATAGAGCAAATAAAGTGTTGCAAATTGATATTAGGTGTACAAAAAAATAAATTGAAAATTAAACATAACATTTTTTCCATATAAAATTTCAAATAAAATAATAGCCTCTACTAACTCAAAATATAAAAATACCCATTGCAAAAAAAAGCTTGCAATATTACATTAAAAGTGATTTTTCAACATCACCAATATTAGATTGCAATATTTCTTTTAATCATCAAATTCCTAAAAAGGAGCCCACACGGTGGAAACGTGCGTTTTCCATTGCCCCTAATTGCTCTAATGGCCAACTAATTATCCACGTTCCAAAATACTAGTTAGAAGTCGTTAATTCCAACGCCCGCATGGTCGCCATCTTGGCGATCCAGCAACGCCACAAACCTAAGATCGAGGTAGTTGAGGGACTGCAGCATCGCCACAGTTTCCGGTATGATTCGTATGGCATTGTGATAGAGATGAAGCTTCTCCAGGAACGGAAATTCTGTGACCTCTTCCGGTAACTCCGCGAAGCGGTTCTTCGAGAGATCTGAAACAGAAATGAAACATTCACAGTCTGATATCATAACACTTCTAGTAGCTTCCATTTTAGTATCACAATAGCCCTAAATTATCATCCTTCATGCATACTCTACTGATCCTCTGGAAGCTTCTCAAACTATGGAAGAAACTTTATTAAAAATTGATTATATTTAATTAATCTATATAAATTAATTTAATCATTCTAAATATCCTAAATATCATTCTATTAATAATCCAATAAGTAATATAATACTATTAAGTTCATTAGATTTTTTATTTTTTACTTGGAATGAAGTTTGTTTATTTCAAATAAAATGTATCTTCCAGTAGGTGAGTATCTGTAATATGAATACTTTGTCTGGTTGAGAAATCTATATTTGAGAAGTATTATAGAAACTCAAGATTTTGTTTCAAGTTGTAGTTTCTTATTTCCATTTCAAATTTAGAGATTTTGGACTGACAACTAATTTCTTCAGGTGCATCTCTTGGGAAGAAGAGAGCTACTCATGGATCTACCTATGAGAGAAGTAGTAGTGTATTTTTGAAGAGTAAGAATATAGTAGTTTAATACAATTGTCTTCTGAGATAGTATCTAGAATTTAAGAGGTTAATTTTTAGTATTAGATATATTCTGAAAAGTAAGAATATAGTAAATTAATAGAATTGTCTTCTGAGATAGTATCTAGAATTTAAGAGGTTAATTTTTAGTATTAGATATTATATTCTGAAGAGTAAGAATATAGTAAATTAAGAAAATTGTCTTCTGAGATAGAATCTAGAATTTAAGAGGTTAATTTTTAGTATTAGATATATTCTGAAGAGTAAGAATATAATAGTTTAATAGAATTGTCTTCTGAGATAGTATCTCGAATTTAAGAGGTTAATTTTTAGTATTGGATATATTCTGAAGAGTAAGAATAAAGTAGTTTAATAGAATTGTCTTCTGAGATAGTATGTATATAAAAAATAGCTATTTGTGCAACATGAGATCAGTCATATCTTATTTCCTTTACTCTAACTTACTCAGTCTAGTTAAATACTGAGTTATTACTAGTAAATACTAGTTATACTAATTATTATTAGTGCATAGGAAGCTAGAAGTATGAAGAAGAAGTAAATAGAAACCCAAAATATTATTTCAGCCATTTCTTATTTTCTTTTATAATAAAATTTGATAAAATGTCTCTTATTATCACTAATAGCATTTTATAGGAAGACTGATCTCTCTAAGAAGTGATCTATCTTGAATCATTTCTTATTTTCTTTTATGATAACGTTTACTAATATTAGTAATATGATATAATATGTCTTCTATTATCAGTAATACCATTCTGTAGCAAGACAAATCTCTCTAAGAAGTGATCTATCTTTCTTAGAAGTTTGTGACAAGGTTTTGGGGCACATGGAGACTTATTTGACAGAAACATCAATTAAAAACGGCACTTCTTGTCCTCAAGAAGGGTGTACCTATTAATTGGTGACATTGACAGTGTTCTCATAGCAATAGCTAGTCACTTCTTACTTCCTTTCATAATAAACATTGTTAATATATCTTTTATTGTCACTAATACCATTCTGTAGCAAGACAAATCTCTCTAAGAAGTGATCTATCTTTCTTAGAAGTTTGTGACAAGGTTATGGGGCATATGGAGACCTATTTGACAGAAACATCACTTGAAAGCGACACTTCTTGTCCTTAAGAAGGGTGTACCTATTAGTTGGTGACATTGACACTATTTCCATAGCAATAGCTAGTCATTTATTATTTTCTTTTGATAATAAAGCTTACTAAAATGTCTTCTATTATCATTAATACCATTCTGTAGGAAGACAAATCTCTCTAAGAGATTTTTAGAGACTCTTAGAAGCTCGTGACAAGGTTTTGGAGTACATGGAGACTTATTTGACAGAAACATCACTTAAAAACGACACTTCTTGTCCTCAAGAAGGGTGTACCTATTAATTGGTGACATTGACAGTGTTCTCATAGCAATAGCTAGTCACTTCTTACTTCCTTTCATAATAAACATTGTTAATATATCTTTTATTGTCATTAATACCATTCTGTAGCAAGACAAATCCCTCTAAAAAGTGATCTATCTTTCTTAGAAGTTTGTGACAAGGTTTTGGGGCACATGGAGACTTATTTGACAGAAACATCACTTAAAAACGACACTTCTTGTCCTCAAGAAGGGTGTACCTATTAATTGGTGACATTGACAGTGTTCTCATAGCAATAGCTAGTCACTTCTTACTTCCTTTCATAATAAACATTGTTAATATATCTTTTATTGTCATTAATACCATTCTGTAGCAAGACAAATCTCTCTAAGAAGTGATCTATCTTTCTTAGAAGTTTGTGACAAGGTTATGGGGCACATGGAGACTTATTTGATAGAAACATCACGTGAAAGTGACGCTTTTCATCCTTAAGAAGACCATACCTATAAATTGGTGACATTGGCAGTGTTACCATAGCAATATCTAGCCATTTCTTATTTTCTTTTGATAATAAAGCTTACTGATATGTCTTCTATTATCACTAGTACCATTCTATGAGAAGACAAACCTCTCAGAATGCAATTTGTCTTTTTTAGAAGTCTAAGACAAGGCTTTGGGGCCTGTGGAGGTCTATTTAACATAAATGTCACTTGAAAGCGACACTTCTCGTCCTTAAGAAGAGCATATCTATTAATTAGTGACATTGACAGTATCCTCATAGCAATAGCTAGTCACTTCTTACTTTCTTTCATAATAAACATTGTTAATATATCTTTTATTGCCATTAATACCATTCTGTAGCAAGACAAATCCCTCTAAAAAGTGATCTATCTTTCTTAGAAGTTTGTGACAAGGTTTTGGGGCACATGGAGACTTATTTGACAGAAACATCACTTAAAAACGACACTTCTTGTCCTCAAGAAGGGTGTACCTATTAATTGGTGACATTGACAGTGTTCTCATAGCAATAGCTAGTCACTTCTTACTTCCTTTCATAATAAACATTGTTAATATATCTTTTATTGTCATTAATACCATTCTGTAGCAAGACAAATCTCTCTAAGAAGTGATCTATCTTTCTTAGAAGTTTGTGACAAGGTTATGGGGCACATGGAGACTTATTTGATAGAAACATCACGTGAAAGTGACGCTTTTCATCCTTAAGAAGACCATACCTATAAATTGGTGACATTGACAGTGTTACCATAGCAATATCTAGCCATTTCTTATTTTCTTTTGATAATAAAGCTTACTGATATGTCTTCTATTATCACTAGTACCATTCTATGAGAAGACAAACCTCTCAGAATGCAATTTGTCTTTTTTAGAAGTCTAAGACAAGGCTTTGGGGCCTGTGGAGGTCTATTTAACATAAATGTCACTTGAAAGCGACACTTCTCGTCCTTAAGAAGAGCATATCTATTAATTAGTGACATTGACAGTATCCTCATAGCAATAGCTAGTCACTTCTTACTTTCTTTCATAATAAACATTGTTAATATATCTTTTATTGCCATTAATACCATTCTGTAGCAAGACAAATCCCTCTAAAAAGTGATCTATCTTTCTTAGAAGTTTGTGACAAGGTTTTGGGGCACATGGAGACTTATTTGACAGAAACATCACTTAAAAACGACACTTCTTGTCCTCAAGAAGGGTGTACCTATTAATTGGTGACATTGACAGTGTTCTCATAGCAATAGCTAGTCACTTCTTACTTCCTTTCATAATAAACATTGTTAATATATCTTTTATTGTCATTAATACCATTCTGTAGCAAGACAAATCTCTCTAAGAAGTGATCTATCTTTCTTAGAAGTTTGTGACAAGGTTATGGGGCACATGGAGACTTATTTGATAGAAACATCACTTGAAAGTGACGCTTTTCATCCTTAAGAAGACCATACCTATAAATTGGTGACATTGACAGTGTTACCATAGCAATATCTAGCCATTTCTTATTTTCTTTTGATAATAAAGCTTACTGATATGTCTTCTATTATCACTAGTACCATTCTATGAGAAGACAAACCTCTCAGAATGTAATTTGTCTTTTTTAGAAGTCTAAGACAAGGCTTTGGGGCCTGTGGAGGTCTATTTAACATAAATGTCACTTGAAAGCGACACTTCTCGTCCTTAAGAAGAGCATATTTATTAATTAGTGACATTGACAGTATCCTCATAGCAATAGCTAGTCACTTCTTACTTTCTTTCATAATAAACATTGTTAATATATCTTTTATTGCCATTAATACCATTCTGTAGCAAGACAAATCCCTCTAAAAAGTGATCTATCTTTCTTAGAAGTTTGTGACAAGGTTTTGGTGCACATGGAGACTTATTTGACAGAAACATCACTTGAAAGTGACGCTTCTTGTCCTTAAGAAGGGTGTACCTATTAGTTGGTGACATTGACACTATTTCCATAGCAATAGCTAGTCATTTATTATTTTCTTTTGATAATAAAGCTTACTAAAATGTCTTCTATTATCATTAATACCATTCTGTAGCAAGACAAATCTCTCTAAGAGATTTTTAGAGACTCTTAGAAGCTCGTGACAAGGTTTTGGGGTACATGGAGACTTATTTGACAGAAACATCAATTAAAAACGACACTTCTTGTCCTCAAGAAGGGTGTACCTATTAATTGGTGACATTGACAGTGTTCTCATAGCAATAGCTAGTCACTTCTTACTTTCTTTCATAATAAACATTGTTAATATATCTTTTATTGTCACTAATACCATTCTGTAGCAAGACAAATCTCTCTAAGAAGTGATCTATCTTTCTTAGAAGTTTGTGACAAGGTTATGGGGCACATGGAGACTTATTTGATAGAAACATCACTTGAAAGTGACGCTTTTCATCCTTAAGAAGACCATACCTATAAATTGGTGACATTGACAGTGTTACCATAGCAATATCTAGCCATTTCTTATTTTCTTTTGATAATAAAGCTTACTAATATGTCTCCTATTATCACTAGTACCATTCTATGAGAAGACA